AACAGTTACTAATCTACTGGAAGCAATCGACATCTGGACTGAAGCCCTTAGTCACAAGCTTCCAGTCGATATTCTCTTCCTAGATTACGCTAAGGCCCTTGATACGGTTCCACACGAGAGACTTCTCCTTCAACTTTCAACCTTTGGCGTCCAAGACAACGTACTTCAATGGATCCGTAACTTTCTTACCAATCGCAGACAACGAGTAGTGGTAAATGGACAATTCTCTAATTTTGCAAACGTCAACAGCGGGGTACCTCAAGGCTCAGTACTTGGCCCTTTACTGTTTGTACTATTTGTGGCTGATATACCGGATTTCCTCAACAACTTTGTCCTGATGTTTGCCGACGACACTAAGATCTTTGAAGTCATATCACAGCTACATGACACGCAGCACTCCAGTCTTCAGTGTGACTTGGACCATCTCCAATCTTGGGCCCAAACAATGTGCATGTTATTTCACCCAGATAAATGCAAAACAATGCACCTCGGGAACACTAACCCGCAACGCACATACACAATGAGGAACAATGATGGCACAACCCACCAGCTTCAAATCACACAAGAAGAGAAAGACTTGGGTGTAATTATCGACTGCAACCTCTCATTCTCCAGGCACATCCAAACCCAGGTATCCAAGGCCAACCGAGTGTTAGGAGCAATCAAACACACGTTCAAGTCCTTGGATCAAACATCATTTCTCCACCTGTACAAATCCTTGGTACGTCCTCACCTCGAGTACGCCTCAGTCGTCTGGTCGCCCAAACTCAAGCTGGGCAAAGATGCCCTGAAACAAGTTCAGAGACGTGCAACTAGACTAGTGCACGGCCTCTCAAATTTCTCATACCCAGAAAGACTTGCCAGCCTCAACTTGCAAACGCTGGAATTTCGATGTAAACGAGCCGACATGGTCCAAACTTTTAAAATACTGACAGGAATTGACAGCGTACAGTCTGACAGAAGTTGTGAAGTATGTGGCAATAGTATGTTCAAAAAATCCCTCAGCACCAATACAAGAGGTCACGATCTGAAACTACAGGTACAACACCAGCCTGGTCCACGGAAACCTTTTTTCTCAAGTAGAACAACACCAGTATGGAACAGCCTGACTCAAGGAACAGTTAGTGCCTCCTCAGTCGACACATTTAAGACCAGCCTAGGGAGAGAATGGCAACACCATCAAAGCCAACACCAACACATATTTTCCTACTAATTCACCGTCCAGTCCCATGTTCTGCATTAACATATCTAACAAACCTTGAGACTCAACTATTTACGGATGAGGATCAAGCCATCACCTTGGTTTAGGGTCTCAATACTCTTATAGGGTACCTAATGACCTTTACTAAAGATAAATTACTAAAGATAAATTAATGAAGAGTTCAATGACACGGTTGTACTGAACATCGGTGCCTTATAGTTCCAGTCAGAGGTCCTCCTGCGAACGTGTTCATTGAGTTGTAGATCCACTCGGGTCTCAGCAAAGGTTTTCAAAAGCACCGTAGCTTGTAAGTGTCCTGTTGTGTTGTTGCCTTGGTTATCCAACTCAGGTTAGCAAATCCAGCTTAACTCCAAACACCAAGATGCTCAGTCGCAAATAAAACGCATTCCCAGTCATAAAATGTGTGTAAAAAACGCTTCTCCGATGCTGTCAGCCAGGAATACCGTTCGTACAAATCCTTTTCCTGGCTGGGTCAGAGCTGCTAGCTGTGGGGTTGACCGACCCTTTCTTACGATGTCCAGCTTTTCTGGAAATGTCCTTCACCAGAAAGGCGTTTCCAGTAACTTCCGAATCTGTTTCTCCTCCTCCTTCAGCCATTGAGTGTTAAAAAAACAAAGCTACACTTTTACTTAAACTGCAAAGGCTTCCTAGCGGGCCTCGGGCCTCTCTTCTTACCTAGAAAAATAGAGGCGAAATCTGATTGGATAAAAGCTCTACTTAAAACAAGCTGCACTGGAAGCAGCGCAACTGAGGAATGAATGAAGTTTCTTCCCACATTTTACAGGTACATTTTCACACTAGTCTTAGCACAAGTGGGTGAGTGATTTTATCTTCAGTATTCATTACGACTGGCATGTGAAGAGCTGCGTATGCAGAGACCCTTTGATACATTTGATGCCTGTGTCTTTAATTGGCCGTGGAGATTTATTTTCACAGCTGCCTCATCCCACAGAATATTGTATGTTTCATGCACGCATCTGATTCACTTTGAGCCAAAGGAACTGACACAACACACTGCTCACCCAGAGTGTGTACATTATCTTTCGCACCTTGTGGCAGGAGGGTTAAAACAGATCTCCAGTCAGTCAATTTGGGATTCTGTGTCATTCATTGTATTTCTTGTGGATTTACCTGCCAATGTGTGTGATTCTGTGCAAAGAGCCGTGTGTGTTCGAGCATCAAGGTGCTGGGTGGGAAGCGGTTCAGCTACAATAAACCCTGATTGTTTGAAGCAGATAGCTATTAGCCGGCAGAGAGTGGGAGCTGTTATGGTGGAAATGAAGCATTGTTAAAGAAACATAAGACTTCCCTCGGTGGATGATAGCCTCCTGAAGGGGTCTCAGATTAGATCTCACAGGTGCACTTGGGAAGGGAGCGCTGATCATTACACTGGGAGAATTATAGCGGCTCATCAAATCTCCTCAGGAATGAGTATTAGGGGGCGACCGTGGCTCACTGGCTTAAGAGGGTTATCTGGTAACCGCAGGGTCAATGGTTCGATCCTCGACTGTCACGTGTCGTAGTGTCCCTGAGCAAGACACTGAACCCCCGGCTCCCCGGGCGCCTATCATTGGCAGCCCACTGCTCCCTATATACAGGGATGGGTCAAATGCAGAAGTCAAATTTTGTGTATTTCGTAGTATATGATATATACACAGTCTTATTACGAGGATAGGTAGGGAAGAAGCCACTGATGTGAGCAATTTACAACAATTGTTTGGGTTGTAGGGTTTGGCTTTTTACAAGACATATTTAGTCTGCCAATTGTAACAGCACCAATGCACTGCTCCACATAAAGAAGTGTTGAAGGGAAATATAGCTAAAATTCAGCTTTGAAAGATGGAATGGATGCCGAGCTATGTGAGTCAATGTTCACATCTCCGTCCAGAAGCATGAGATAGGTTCTCTCTGCCCTGATGTCAGTGTGAAGTCCAGTGAAGCAGAGCGATGAACGGGGAGAGATAAAGAGGGAGATTGAATTTAGGATTTATTTTGTGGCTATGAAGTTGTACTTTCTGCTGTCAAATTCCCTGCAGCTCTGTGAAATTATACTTACATTTCAAGACTGAGAGAAATCAGTATCACAATATAAATCTTTTGAGTAGAACAGAGTTGTTGGGCAGCAGAGTCATATATATATATAATCATAATGTATATATGTACACAGCTCATAGTGGCACATTGCTAAAATAAACACTACACAGCAGCAAAGTTATAGCAGAACTCAACAAAAAATGTCTGGTCAGTCCTTCCTGGTTTGCAGTTGACAGCATCTGCTAAATTTAACACTAAATCAGTAAAGCCATGGACTTTTGTACAGTGCGACACAATGTGCAATTTCAGCCCATCAGGTATTAAAAATATTGCACAATGCTATATGGTGATTGGTCATCTGCTCTCCACTGCTGCAAAAGCTTCCAAGGTTGGATTTCCTTCCCTAGGACCTTCAGGGCCTCAAAGGCCCCTATTGTGTGGCAATTAGTATGTGGTAGTAGTAGTAGTATGTTCCTCATACGTTTCTAGATAAAAACCTGTAGTTTAGCGATGGGTGATTGTAGAGTAAAAATCTTGTCTTGATAGCTTTATTATTTCAGGTGGTATAATGCTCACATGGTGCACATTCCTTAATAATTTTGCGTTTAATCAAAGACACACTCCGTGACACACTGAGAACCTGGGATCAGGTAGTTCTCTTTTAAATTCTCTGTTTTGTGTATCCAGTCTGTTGTGTCTGTCTGAGGTACTTGAAGGACAGAGGGTGAGAAGAATGTCCACTCAGGTCCACTTAGTAAGTTTGATGCCTGTAACATATTAGTTTGTTTGATGTGTTCCTTGAAAAGTGTAGCTGTTCTGAATGGCCACACACAAAGGTGGGACAAAAGCCTGCTGTCATACAGAGTGGTGAGAAGCTCTAATTGTACAAATGGGGATAACGGCGGAAACTTTCGACTCCTTGAGGGCATCCTTGGGTTGCACCCAGTTGTTCGTGGAAAGTAATTGTAATTGTTGAATACAACTAAATTCTGATATGGGGGGGGGGGGCATGCACACACTGTTTAAAGCACCCTAACTCCTTCATCTGGCCCTGATTCCTTCACTGCCTGTGACAGTTATACTTATCAAAAACCAAATGAAGCTTATAATATGCAGGGTTTTCCTAAAAACAATGTATGGACTAATTCAGAAATAACCCTCTGTCATCACTTCTGACCCACTAGAATTGTGTGGTGGTGTCTGGTTCTACAGAGACCCTAGCCTCTGGCTGGACTTTCGCTTTTCTTTTCTCAGTCCCAGGTCATCAAATACCTCCTGTGACAGATAATTTACATTGTTATTTTGACGTGTGAAATAAGTGTGATAAAGAAAGATGACAAAGATTATTTTTACGGCTTTGTTTTTAATTAAAATGGTATAGTGAAAAAGGGAATAAATAGAGGAAAATAAATGACTGTTTTGACTTTCAAGTAAAAACGTTACCATGTTAAATATTGCACTTAGTGTTTTTTGGATTGAAGGATTCTTAGCCTTTGTTGCAGAGATGTGTTATGGCACAGGCTGGTTGCTTGCTGTAGTACCCTTCTCTATAATTAACCAATTCGAAAAGGGATTGGCAGCGTGTTAAATAATAGTGGATGGAAAGGTTTGGATCCAAAGCAGAGAACAGGCAGGAAAGTAAACCCAGAAATCTCTGCACCTGTACAGCCAAGTGATCATTGAGCCGGTGGTACAAATCAACATCCATCCAACAATGTCTGTTACTCTCTTTCATTTTCCACAGCCTCTGTCTCTGAGGATGGTGGCTCTATCACCCAGGGAAGCCCTCTAGAGAGCGAGGCCAGGCTGTACCCCACCACCCAGGACACAGGACGGAGGCTCCTTGTTGTCACCACCGTCCCACCTGTCAACTTCCCGAACCACCACCCACTCTACCAAAATCCCCTCCAACACCCTCAGGGTCAGCCCAACTACTTCGAAGACAGCAGGTTATCCAGCTCTCAGCGCACCTTCTCCACCCTGCCGTCTGGGGCTTCAGATGAGAGTGCTGAAATCTCCAACGTGCAAACAACCCTTGTAATGCACGCATTAGCAGCCACTTCTCTCTCCAACACCCCTATTCCAGTCACCAGCATGGCTCCAGAACATGCTGCCAGCATTCCCTCTGCTGCTGCTACTGCCGCAAAGGAGAAAGATGTAGTGAGGTCCGGTCAGCCTGGACTGAAGCACAATGTGAGGCCAGGTAGTAATGAGGAGGAGACAACCACCACCACCATCACCACCATGCAAAGTCTAGGTAAGGGTAGATGGTACCAATGATGTTCTGGTTGGTTTTAATCACCAGCTGTAGAGCCCTCCTGTCCTGAGCCGTAAGATTTTATGATAATATTTCTCCAAGGCCCATTTAGTCACAGTTTACATACATTATGTTCTTGTGCACTATACATTCTAAAATAGTGACCCCTAAATGCCCTTCAGTGGCCTGGTAAACGTCCGCATCTTTCAATCCCCACACCCCTTTAATTGGCCGTTGTTTGTCCGTTTGTTTTCTGTTAATACAAACTATTTTACCTTTTACCTCTTGTCTTGATACATTCTTTCAAATCTACTGTGGACATTTACATTACTGAATGTAAATGTTGGCCGTTGTTGGGAACGAAAAGGAGCGTGTTTGAGTTATCAGCATAGTGTACATGTGTACATAGTGTACAGTGTGTACATGTATGCAGTGTGTGCATGCAGTGTGTGTGTGCTCTCTCAGCTAAAGAAACAAAGCCGGCGACTCTTTGATTAGCACAGCCGCGGTTCTGACCTCTGAACTGATGAGAAACAACTTCCGCCTCCGCTAGCGGTGAATTATCTCAACACGATAGTAGCATGAAATACACAGTAACTTCTACACAACATTAAGGATCTCGATCGTTAGTCTCTGCGATTATTGACCATACACACCACGTTATAAAAATTACAGTAACTTAAACAACACAAACAAGATAATAAACACAATTAAAGCTGCAAGCAGCATTGATCTGGCCCTCGCAACTTCACGCACGTCGAGGGTACTGGCAGGACTCTGGTTGACGGGGCCATGCATTTCTGTGACCATCATACACAGCGCCTGGAAATTGCAAAAAACAACACTAGAAATTCATACAAAATTCAAAATGGCTGACTTCCGGTTGGGTTTAGAGCACAGACCCCTGAGACCTTTTTTTAAGTCTACATGTGATACATCTGCTTACCAAATTATATACATCTAGGTGAAACGTACTGCGAGGGTTGCATCGTTGAAATATTATAGGGGGCTCTATCGAGCCGACTTGCCACACTGAAGCAATAAAATCACATCAGATAACTACATTCAGGATTTTAAATGTGTTTGGCAAGTTTGCTATAACTAATCCGTAACCACGTGCAGGTATTGTTTGACGTTTTCATTGGATGTTAATCAGCCAGGGACAGACTGTCCAGCAGCAAGTGTGGGAAGATTCCAGACAGCCGATGCATTCCAGGCTGAAGAGGCCGGTGGTCATAGAGTTTTTATTTCTCCATTTCTAATGTCAGTAGTTACTGGCCTGGCCATCACAGCAGACCGTGGAACGCTACCTGTCAGAATGGGCCAATCAAATGCTTTCAATATTGAGGGGGGGGGATACGAGTGGCCCCTCCCAATTTGGACAGAACCTTGTTCAGTTGGAATTTTGTTGGAATCTGAATGGCTCAGTCATTTTTATCATGAACATGACAAACTAGTGTTCCAGCTCCCCTAGTTTTGTCTGGCTGTTCTTGTTTTGATTCAGAGCAGAGGTGACGTGCTGATACAAACTGAGGAGGCAGGTGTCAGCGAGACATCCTAAAGTCTGTTGAAGGTCTTCAGCATCATCAGATTCTCTTTATAGCAAAAAAAAAAACAGGCTGGCATGGGCATCAGTTTTATGTAGTCGGTGAGAAAAAAGGGTGAATTTACTTGCCTATTTTGGCATGTGCGCATCCCTTGTATTAGTATTTACACCAAGACAAAATAGAATTGTTTGTGAATTTGCTACTTCATTTCTAGGGAACAAAACACATTTCATAATCTTTTGTAATCCTTTATTTTAATTTCCACAGCCATGGAGATACAATGAACCACAGCAGCTTTGCTGCATCACAGACCCTTAATCAAGTGGTCCAAACAGGGACCACAGCATAACAATCCGAGATTGTTGGTTATGAAGAGAGTACATGGGACCATACATATCATGTTGGTGACTTCTTAGTGCACTTCGCAGGTCAATAAGATCAAGATGGGAGCAGCTTGATTAAACAGCTCATCTGTGTGCAGGGTGACAGCTGGTCAAAGCACAGACAGACAGGACTGTACTCAAAATCTCGCTCTAACACAGACACCCCGGGCGTAGCGTGACTGACAGCATTGTAGTGCAGTGATAATGCTGAGTGCCGAGGGAACACAGAGAGGATGTTCTTCATAAGAATGCACTTGAGCAAAAGTTTACTTTTATTTCAAACAGATGAAGGTGGTGGAGCAGAAACCCTGAAGGTCACTAGGAAATATTCTGTCCTCAGCTGTTCCATCGCCGGGCTGAGCTGCTTATAAGGACAGCCAGAGAGCCTGGAAACCAAACAAAGTCAGATAAGGTGCCTATGTGTGTTTATAGCGATGCCTGTACCTTTACAGTCAATACCATTACAGTACACTGTAATGGCCATTCATCTTGGCTTTTCCAACCCTATTTACACTTGGTAGCGACATGTGACCTGTATATCCCATCTGGATCAGGAGAAACGCAGGTGTAAATGCACGTAGAACGCACAGCACATGGAATGCTATCGGATTGGCTGGACCACATATGAGGTCTGGCTTGCATTGTTATCCAATCTCAGCCAGGTATAAATAACATCTGTATAGTGTGACCACATTTATAAGAAAAAAATTCGTCAAAATAAGTCAACAAGTTATAGGTCATATGACCCCGCTACCAGTTAAAAGGCTGTAGATGAGCCTGTCATCTGTGAAGGAAAAGGAAGAAGAGCCCCCGCAGCAGCATTGCTACAGAAGACTGTGACAGCTTGCCAGACGAGTCACAAGACTGGGAGACATGTCCTGTCAAGTGAGTTTTAGTGATATAGCCCAAAATTACATGAATTACAGCCTCACAGGGCTTTACAATACAGCATACAGCACCTGCTATCCTTAGACTCCATCCTCGGTTTGGATGAAAAAATGTCTTCCAGGGCGGACAGACAGTAGTAAGAGTTCAAATTGAAAGATATAGAAGAAATGATGACATTTGCATTTTGCTTGGTGTAATTTTTTTTTTTACCTAGCTTTGTTTTTTTAACACTCAATAGCTGAAGGAGGAGAAATGGATTTGTGAGTTGGGATTTAACCATGGGATTAAACTCTTTGTCAACAAGGAAAGGAGGATGGAGTTTGTCTTTAAGTGAACAGCATTTGGTAAGTCAACTGCGTTTGTTTTTTTACATCTAATATCTGAATGGCCCTCGAGTGTGTAGCAGAATGCGTGTTGCTGCAGGTCTGCTGGATTGATTTGTTTGTTGCTTTGTTGTCATATGAATATATGTGACTGGTTCTTGTGAGTTTGTTGTTGTCATTGTGTTAATTATATAGATTTGGACTACATGCATTGTCCGTTTATTACGAAGCATACCGTCATGCTTAACAAACAAAGTTATTGTTTGTTACGCTAGTTTAGCGTAGCCTCCCAGAACACACACGGTGCCTCAGCTGTCTTTTGTTTTGGTTCTTTTTGTTCCGGGTTCAGAGGTCACAGCCCGTTGTCTCCTACGTGAGCGCAGTCCACCGAAAACATATTTCTGACAATTTAAGCTTCTGCATTTTCAAAATGCACTAGTATTATTAAAATGTATTGTTCGGTTCGTAAGCCTCGTACTGAACGGTTTAATACGAATACGTCTATTGTTACACCCCTAGAAACAATATTAGGTGGTGTTTCAGCTGCAGGACAGCAGTGAAGGCCCAGGTATAAAATGCACGGCCCGCCACTGAACACAGTAATAAATAAATGCATGAACGAAAAAGGCCTGTGATCAGATGTTAATATTTACATAATGTATCCAGATACAGAACACGTTATAACCAGGTAGAAATGGGGTCTTGAAGTCCAAATCCCTATTAGTGCAACACACCCAACAAGAGAGAATATTTTCTACAGTATAGGCAACATACTGACATTTGTGTTGTTCTTCAAGAGATCAAAATGTCAAGTTTTGCCTGAGGCAGGCCCCCCAGATCACATTAGGCTCAGCTAGTTGTGCTGTGCAAAGTTGACATTTTGGCCTGAGTGTAGGCCAATGAGCCTTTATTTGTGGAGTTAAATAGATCTCAAAATGGTCTTAAATGTGTATAACTTGATCTTTAAACAATCTATTTACATTCATGGGCTACTGTACTGCATAGAGTATATAGTTGGTAGATTTATGTGTTCTTACCAAGGGGCGACAAGCTATTCTGTAAATTTAGAAGAAAATGTCTTTTCCACTTTGAAATTACATACAATTTTACCAAAATCCCAGATGTACTAGCTTTACACATGCACTTAAACGCAGCATGCATTTGTGGATCTGTGTGGAGCTGGAGACGGTGAAAATAGTATCAAAACTCCACACACAACTGTAACCTGATCCGTGCGTATCAGGTAATCGGTGCACATACATTTAACAATCTGCAAATAAATACAAAAAATGTCACAAATACTTTGACATTTCTATACACATGAAGTTTTACCAAGGCAAACATGATCAGATCTATGAAGTTAAAAGTCTGTACGTAAATATAAATATTTATTCAGATTGTGATTCGTGCATTTGTCAAACTGTTTTAGTGTTCAAATTGCTTGGTATTTGTGTTTAGATTGGAACATGCATTCGTGAGTACACCTAATTTCACTCCATATTTATAATTAACAACAAAATAGAATTTGTGTCAATGCCTTCCAAAATGACACGTATGACCATTGCACAACTAAAATGAGCTGGTTAAGGTTAGGGAAAGGACATTTTCATGGTTTAAAGAACTTAACAGCTGAGAGTTTTTGTTGTCCCATGGCCTCAGTGCCATCTCGGGACAATTCACTATTGCCATGAATACTATTATGAGGGGAAATTCACCAGCTAAAACCAGCTTGCCTAGATTAGTATGTTAGGGTTAAATGTTTGTGAATTTGGGTAAATGAATGACTGTATGCACGTGTGTCTGCATTGCTTCCATCAGTCTCATTGCCATGCTGCTGTTTGTCCTTGCAGTTCCCTGCCAGCTGAACTTGACTGGGCCAGAAGGATACATAGAGGCTCCGCCACAGTCCAGCTCTGCTTTTCACTCCACTATGGATTGCAGCTACGTCATCACTGTCTATATGGGCTATGGAGTGGAGGTCCAGGTAAGAGCAACATCCATCAATACTGCATATGTTGGACTCCTGATTCTCTCCAGCAAGCCTGATGTCATGGAAGATTCCTACTTAATAAATGTACTACTGTTATACATGTAATCTACTAAATGGATGGAAAGGTGTATACTTTATAACTATAGTAGTTATTTTGGTCAAAAGACAGCTACCTAGATGTGATATCATATTTGTTAAAATTGAGATTGATGGTAACTATTAAAAACATCTCATTTGTATGATATTCAATGAAAAGCTATGGCTTTCAAAGAACACCTCATCTCTACCAAGAAGATAAATGCACCTTCCAGGGAATCCAAAGTTGTCTTATTACTGGTTCTAGTGGGACAGAGAAGATGAGTGGACTGGTTTTAGTGGGACAGAGAAGATGAGTGGACTGGTTCTAGTTGGAGTGATAAGATGAGTGGACTGGTTCTAGTGGGACAGAGAGGCTGAGTGGACTGGTTCTAGTGGGACAGAGAGGATGAGTGGACTGGTTCTAGTGGGACAGAGAAGATGAGTGGACTGGTTCTAGTGGGACAGAGAGGCTGAGTGGACTGGTTCTAGTGGGACAGAGAGGATGAGTGGACTCGTTCTAGTGGGACAGAGAAGATAAGTGGACTGGTTCTAATGGGACAGAGAACATGAGTGGACTGGTTCTAGTGGGACAGAGAGGCTGAGTGGACTGGTTCTAGTGGGATTTATGTGTTACTAATGTTTTTGCGCCTACCATGGTGTCCAAAGGTCTTTTTATTTACTCTTGGTCAGTTTTTTTTACATTTTCCGTCCTCTTATCTGGTTGAATAATTGAAAATCAGTTGTGTGTACTGGCTGCAAAGTGCCATCTATAGAAAATTAATATATTTCATTGGTTTGGACATTAGGGCTCAAGGTACTGTTTATTATGGTGACCCGTTAATGGACTTTATTTTATAGCCTAAATATGTTATTTAATTGAATGTGTCTATCATACACTATAATCATCATCATATACAACTTTTCATTACTCTCTCTTCACCCCCCATCTTTTCAAAAATGAAAATGAATTGACCTACTTTATACTTTCATCTCTTCATATATGAATACATATGTGGTGACATGCTGATACTATAATAATAGTGTGAATTATGCCAGGCTTAGTTTTTATTTATTCAGACACTGTGTTGTCCCTGTGCAATATGGCTCTGGATCCACTCAGCCATTGTCCATTTGTGTCCAAATCATTGCCCCTTTTTATTAAATCACTGAGCATGGTGTTGGCCTACAGTCGGATGGATGGCTTCAATTAGCTTTTTAATTTTTCATCAACAATAGTTCTCCAGCCATCTCTGGGCAAGCAGTGCAGATATATAGCTTGCATAGCAGCTGCTGTGACAGCAGAGTAATTCACTGTTCATTTCAAAAATACAGGTCCATTACGCTCCCCTCCCTTCCAGTATGTTTGGATTCTACAGTATAAGAGGATTTCACCAGAAATATGTCATAGATATCCTGAATCATGCTTTTATAGACCAACCAATTCTGAAATACCAGTTTATGTTTCCTCACATGTCACAAGATAAAAAGGCTATGAATTATAAGGTCAATAGGGATATTTTACTCATTTTTAAATCACTTTTGTCCATAAGAAGATTGTATGTCATGTAGCTCTACGACAATCAATTTTGAATACATTGTGAATTGTACATAGATTGTAGGTCTCTTCTTTGACACTGGCTATTGTGTCTCAACACAAAACTCTTTCGTCTGTATTCTGCATGAGATCGGATTTTGGTAATATCACTAAGTGGTGCAATAGTTCAAGGGCGGAGGTTTGGTTTCAACATTGGTGGGGGCACATATTATGCGGGGTTATCAGGCTCCTCCCCCACAAATAGTGGAAATCAAAGTCCATCCACCAGGTGAAAATTCTAAATATACAAATATAGTGGATGCAATAAGCAATAAGGCTCTCAGTCGTTCTGTATTGCTTTCAAATATGTATTCGGTAACACGTTATAATAACTACACGCTATGAAGCATTAGTTAAGTATGAGTAAATACTTAATTAATCATTTGTAAATCATTGTTCCTATATTAACACTCATTAGTATGCAACTCATAACAGTTATAAATGTTTTATTCTTGATTAATAAGCTTGATTATTATAGGTTTCATGATTGTGTTTTCATACTTTATAAATGATGGATTCCCCTTTGTAAAATAAGTATTTTTAGTTTTAGTTTGTATATATATTACAAACCAATTTTTAATCTATTAACACTCCGATGTTAGAAATACTTCCGGCACCACACGAGTGGCAGCCTTTTACAGCAGCTCCTGCTCACCACTGAGCTTTTTCTTTCTATTGTGTTATTTTTAGTGCTGGGCAAGTTAACGTGTTAATTTCGCATTAATGCATTCATTAATTAACACCGACAATTATTTTATCACGCGTTAACGCATTTTTTAAATTTATTATAATTTTTTATTTTATTTTATTTTTTTATTGAAAGACAAGAGACAATACATAGACATAACAACAAGAGGATGACAACAACAGTGGGATAAAAGCCAGCAAACATCCTATAGTCAGTTGTGTGTGTGTGTGTGTGTGTGTGTGTGTGTGTGTGTGTGTGTGTGTGTGTGTGAACGTGTGTGTGTATGTCCTTGAGCCTTTTGAGATGGGAAAAAAATAAATAATAATAATAATTAAAAAACAACAAAAAAAAACAGGCAAGTATTTTTAATTTATTATTATTGTAACAGACTGTCTCATGTTTATCGTTTTGTATTGGAGATATGATGTCCCTTCAGGGTTGCCGTAGAGAAAAGGCGACTTCCGCTTCTGGTCGAGGGCAGAAATAAAGAGAGAAGCTGCACCAGCTGTTGCTCTCCCTGGAGACTACTGGACATCACTGCGGTAAAGTCAGCAGACACTGAGATCTCCTTGGTCAACTCAGCAGGCACTTACATTTTAGTGCACCTATATGCTGAAATTCACGGTAAACTCATTTAAACAGCACAGATCGGGAGCGAGCGAAGGACTTTGAAAGTTAGCGGAAAGATTAACTCTGCCCACATTCACCCAGTATGTCACATGCCACACCAGAGACAATAAAACACTGGATCTATTCTATGCCAACACCAAGGAGGCATACACTTCATTACCTCTATCTCCCCTGGGAATATCTGACCACAACCTGGTGCACCTCCGGCCTGTGTACAAACCTCTTGTAGAAAGGCAGCCAGCTGTGACCCGCACAGTAAAAAGATGGTCTGAGGAAGCCGAGGAGGCTCTGAAAGACTGTTTTGACTCTACTGTGTGGGAAGTATTCAGTGATGCTCATGGGGAGGACATTGACAGTCTCACTAACTGCATAACAGACTACATAAACTTCTGTGTGGAGAACACCGTACCCACCAGGACTGTACGGTATTTTTCCAACTGTAAACCATGGATCACTCCTGAAATAAAGTCTCTTCTCAAGGAGAAGAAGAGGGTCTTTAGATCAGGAAGCAACAGTTATATGTTGTCCCTGACAGGGGGGTTGGATCAGAAAACTCCTTTTGTCCTTCTAGAGGGCACAGACAAACGACAGATTTTGTTACTCATTTTGAAGGACATGTTCATTTGGTATAGCCTACCAAGAAAAGTCTTTAAGTCGTAATTCAGAACGCGTGCATATGAGTCCTTGAGCAACCCTCTGTTCATTTGACAATTCTTACGCTAATCATTCAAAAATATTCTTGACACTGTTGATGATCTTTTCTGTAATATTTTTGTCTTTAGAGCTGCTGCAAGTCCTAATTTTGTGTGAAAGAATCCTGCCAGATATCACTCACCACAGTGCAGCCCATAGTGTTAGCATGCAGTACTTTGAGCCAACAACCTCCTGCAGAAACACAGATGCATTGGTATTCTTATCACTTAATGGCTACATTTACCTAAAGATTGACTAAAAAGATTCTAAGGCTGAACACATGAGTGAAGGAAAATATTTTAACCTCCTTTCCTGAGAATGTGACATACCAACAAAGGATGTACTAGCATACAGTGGCCATGCAAATGCACTGTAGATGTTCAATGTCACCTCCACAAATGTGTTCGGCCCGTAGACAATGGCGGACGCTCCAAATGATTACAGCCACTCTCTCCACTCTAGGTCATTCACAGTCGTTTTGAAGCGTCTGACCTTTTTGGGGAGGCTTATGTGATGATTTAAGTAGTGCCCTTGTCTCTACCTGAAAACCCCTTCCTCCACATGATTAACTCCAAGAGCTTTGCTTCCTGCTGCTCATAAAATATACAAAGGCTATTACACTGCTGACCTTCCAGATGCCTGGCCTAATATATTTAGGATAAAAAAATGAATATGTGGTTGCAAATCATGGTCAATGACGTCTTCCAGCTGATTCTTGTTGCTGATGTGGTGAGAAAAGGACAGGGAAGAGAAAAAAATGAAAGGAAAGGAAAACGATGTCAGAGAGCCAGAAAGGAAGAGGAAGATAGGCAAATAGCACAGCTACTTCCTTCCTTCTTTGTTAATTTTCCCTTCTCTTCTCTGTATATGGTGGAGTGGAGGTGGCAACAGCTGGAAGAGGCTCGATATCCTCCCAGGTCCATTTTCTTCATATGCATATTTTATTTCTGTCTGCAAATGTATTATGTTGCTCATTCTTAGTACACGTCATCTTTAGCATGCTCCATCCCTCCCTCATTTGCTCTCCCTGAGGTTTCTTCCATATTTCCCCCATAAGTTTTTTGGGGGAAGTTTTTCCTTGTCCCAAGTGTGGGTCAAACAGTGGTGTCGTATGCTGTAAATAATAATACATTTTATTCATATAGTGCTTTTCAAAATTCTCAAAGACACTTTACAAACATTAAAATCATCATAAAAAAGCTATACAGTAAAAGCATAGAACACGCATTCATCGCACATTAAAAGCAGTTCTGAATAGGTGGGTTTTGATTTCTGATTTGAACATGGAAAGGTCAGTGCAGTCTAGGTTGT